AGTCTCGCACTTTCTATCATCTAACTACTCTAGATATTTACCATAAAAAGGTCACTATATGTCTCTCTATAAGTCGTACTAATTTTTATAAGGCTTCAGTTAAGAAAGTTTTTTTGCTACTTTCTAAAGTAATTTTTTAGTACAAAATTCTTTTGAACCATACATTTTTGTACTAGAAAGCAGCAAGAAAGCCATCCCAAACGAAGCCTAAGGTTTCGTTTGGGACCATTTTTTTCTGCTTTTTAAAGCAGCTTTTTAGTACAAATTTTTTTAATTTTGTACTAGAAAGCTGCTTTAAGAAACAATAAAAAAATCGTCCAAAACGAAACCTAAGTCTTGCATTGCTTAGTTTTAATTAAGGGTGCAACTTAGTCAAATTACAATCAATCGTGTAATTGAGTCAAGTACAATAGTTAAGCAACTCAGAGGTCAATAACATACAAAAATAAATTTTTAATTAAATAAAATGATTAAAAAAAATATTTATTTACACATTATAAGGAATGGAAGCAATAATTCAAATAAATTGACTAGTGAAAATAAAATAGATAATAATACAACCAATTTAAGGACATACCATGTGATTCTCCATTTGTTTTTTTCCTCTATTCCATTTTATGCCATGTTGGCTATTTGTCTTTTCTATGTTCTTCTAAATGCATTATAGATTTACTTCAATTTTAAGGATTTGTTTGGTTGGACAGAAATAATCGGCTATAAAAATGAGAATGAATTGGCTCAATTTTTTTTTTTTAAAAAAAATCAATAAATTATTTATTTATTTTTGATAAAATAAGGAAGTAAATAAATATATAAAAATCACAAAAGCTATAGAGATGATATATTTCCTCCAACTAAAGAATGTAATATAGCTTCCATTAGATTATCTTAAGGTATGTTTAAAATTGAATTTAATTAATTTTGCATTCATAGTTCGCTCATAATTATCACTTGAAATATGTAGTTGATGATGACGAAGTGCTTAAATGTGAAAAGTTTATGCATTTGAGATGGAAGGTTTACCCATCGCTGCTTGTCCGGGTGGTGAAGAGCCGGCTGGGCAAAGCCTAGGTCCCGGGTTCAAATCCCTTGGCAAGCAGTGAAAGACTTAAGTGTTGGCCTGTGTAAATTGGTGTGGGTTGCATGCTAGGTCGACCGGGTAATAGTATATTTTGTCATATATTTTAATTCTTTTTTTTTTTTGTTCATTTCATTTTTTAATAGTTTCAGATGTTACTCATGCCAGAGAAAGAGAACTGAATATGATATGCATTCCTCAACACTCAACGCACAATAGAGTTGATAAAAAGGTATGCATTCCTCCTCCAATGCAATGCCGTTTGTTCATCCTGTGCGGGAACCGGGAGCCGCAGGATGGCCGGACCATCTCGTGCAAGAACCTGGAGCCGCAAGATGTGTCGTTTGGTGAAGCTTTTTGAATTACAATTACTCTTCATTGATTAGGTTACTTATAAATTTTGCTTAATTTATAGTGAAATATTTGTTTATGTTTTATATACTTACTTGATGCCACATTTATATTTTGTGTTATTTGTTTATATTTTATAGACTTAGTAGATGCCACATTTAGGTACTTTGATCAGTTTGATATGAAAATGAAATTTAGAGCAAAAGTATTACATGAAAATTTTTCATTCATTTTATGATTTTTAACAATATTATTATTTATTAAGTTATCCGATTTGACCCCGGTTCTATCGAATCTATAGAATCGTGAACCTCTCCTTCTGATTCGTTGTCTGATCCGATTTTCAAAACCTTGATAATTAGAGTCAACTCTCTATTTGATAAATTGAATCTTCTTGTACTTAATTGATCAGTCCAATAACATAGAATAATGAAAAATTCAAGTAAAAAATAGTGATGCTTATAGTCTTTTAACGAAGGACTAATGATGATACATTGCAAGAGCTTGGGGCTTAGTTGAAGTAGTTATCATGAAACCTATGATTTATATCATCACAAGTAACAAGCAATTGCATAGTTATTATTATTATTTTAATTAATAATACGCTCCATTGTGTATTTTCTCTTATAAATAAAATCCTTCACACAATTTATTATCATATTCTATAAACTCTTAGATAGATGATACTCACTAATATTCATTTTTAAGGAATTTAGGGAACCACATTTTATAATGTAAGGCTGTAAATAAAGTTGATGAATCAAGCTGTATCATCATTATAAATTATTTTTGCAAATATGAAATCATTTATCGACATCAAGCAGCCAAAAATCCTTTAGACTTAGGCTTCGTTTAGGACGACTTTTTTATTGCTTTTTAAAACGGAGTTGTGTAGTACAAATTTTTTAATTTTTGTACTAAAACTCCGTTTTCAGAAGCAATAAAAAAGCCGTCCCATTTGTGACGACTTTTACTAAAAAGTTGTTTTACAAAACAATAAGAAAACCGTCTCAAACGAAGCCTTAGGCCAAAGGGGCCTCGTTTGGGACGGCTTTATTACTGCTTCTTAAAGCAGTTTTTAGTACAAAATTTAAACTTTTTTACTAAAAAGTTGTTTTAAAAAGCAATAAGAAAGCGAGCTTCATTTGTGAGCTTCTCTAGTACAAAAATTTTTTGAATTAAAAAATTTTATACTTGAAAGCCGTTTTATGAAGCAGGTACAAAAGCTGTCCCAAACGAAACATTGGAGTGACTTTTTTACTGCTTCTTAAAGCATTTTTTTAATACAAAATTAAAAATTTTATACAAGAAATTAGCTACTTTAAGAAGCAGTAAAAAAACCGTCACAAATGAAGCCTTAGTATTATAACTGAAGAAACTGTAGCTGGGAGCGAGATACCGGAGAAATGTAAAAGAGAAAGTATTTCTTATTATTCATGATGTGCTGAGGCTACAGCACCTTATATAGAATACAGAGAAACTATAAGAAGAGTTAATTACAAGTAGACCTATGAATCTTCTAGAGCGGTACAGAGATATTAGTGGCTTTATATTCTTGGTTCTTATATGTCCCGTCAAATTGATGATCCTGAATGATCGTCAATTTGAGACGAAGTTGATGGAACCGAGGAGTGGATAGCGGTTTTGTGAAGATATCCGCCACTTGATCTGTTGTGCTAATAGGATGCAGATTTATATTGTTCTGTTGGATATGATCACGTAGAAATTTTTGATCTATTTCTATGTGTTTTGTTCTTGAGTGAAACACCGGATTATTGGCCAGTGCAATAGCAGACATGTTGTCGCAATAGAGATTTGTGGGATAGTTTTGTTGGATGCCGAAATCAGCCAAGAGTCGACGGATCCATATGATATCGGAGGTTAGTGAGGCAAGTGCCCTAAATTCTGATTCGGTTGAAGATCTTGAGACTGTTCTTTGTTTCTTTACCGTCCACATGATTAAAGATTCCCCAAGAAATGAGCAGTAACATGAAGTTGATTTTCGAGGATCTCCCACCCAATCAGCATCTGAAAAGGATTTCAAAATAAGATCAATTTTGGTAATTGGTAAACCAAATTGTGATGTACCTTTTATATATCGTAGTAGTCATTTGAGCAGATAGAAATGTTTTGGATACGGATCATGCATATTCTGAGATAGTAGATTGACACTGAATGCTATATCAGGTCTTGTTAACGTGAGATATTGTAGAGCTCCCGTAATACTTCGATATAATGCCTGATCGGTGGAGAGCTCATCGGAACGGAAGTTTTGTACATGTAGGATTTGAGAGCGCATTGCAACTGAGCAGATTTGCTTGCTGTAGGATTTTGAGCGCGTAATTTTCCTGTGACAGAAAGTAGGAGTTCTTATGTTTTGATATTTTAATACCGAGAAAGTAATGAACTTCTCCTAGATGTTTCATAGAGAAGACAGAGCCGAGTTTTGCTAGTATAGAAGAGATTTGCATCGTGTCATTTCCTGTAATTAATATGTCATCAACATATATTAGTAAGAAAATTTGAATATTGGCTTTGCGATAAATTTATAATAACTACCTTTGTGCCACTATCTCCTCCTACTTTAAGAAGTCAATCAAGTCGTTAGTATATTTACCTGAAGATAAAGCTACTCATGAAGATATCAGAGATTATATCTACAAAGTTATAGATAATTATAATGATCAATTTAGTTTGAAACTAGAGATAATGCATCACTTTAGTGGAGCATAACCCAAAATTTCAATTCCTCCAATTGAATTATTAATAAATTACTATCTTGCTTTTTTTTCTTAAATGATATATCTATATCCATTCAACAATAATCTCTCATATATTTGTCTATTGCTCCCCAAAAAATTTTAATTTTATATTTTTGTATACGTAAGGATGATACAAGATCAGTCAGCTCATTATCTTTCAATAAATGATGTAGGTGATGACTAGCACATACTATATGAAGAAGTAAATGATACTATGAACATACACATTACAGATGATGATGACCATATTGATGTTTTAATATTAAAACGTCCAACCAAGTAATTATGATTCACTCAACTATATTAATCTTAAATATGTTGTGTTAAAGCTGATAAAATACACTCTATTGCATCTATCGTAAGTAAGACATGTTCAAACTAATACAAAACGTATTTGAAATTATTTTAAATAATATTTGAATTTTATTCAAATAGGATTCGAACGATGTTGGAACCCTGAAATTCACTCTCTTTGAATCGAGTCTACCATGATCTGAATTTTGGGTAATAATAAGTCTTTCACAATCAAAAGATAGATATTTTGATTCAAAATAAATTTTGGAATATATGTAGTCAAGAAAATAAATAATTAGCATATTCTTCAATTATGTCTATGATGAGATATTTAAAGTAAATCCTAGAAAATCTTCTCCTATAATAAACAATTCTTCTTGATATGTTGGCTGAGTAGTTTAGCAACTAGTTAGGATGTCTCGGTTCGAATTACTCATGCGTTATATTTGTGAGTCCGGGCGCCCTCCTTTAATTATCCTAAAAAAATTTAACTTTTTTTTTTTAATAAAATTTAATTTAATTACAATCGCTGCACCCTACGGATATGTCCTTCCCCTTCCGCCCTCCCCAATTCAATTCCCACCGGCGCCTCCTCGAGCAAAAGCTCTCAGACCTCCATAAATGCTACGACCCTATCTCCCTCAGCCAAATCCACACCCAAATCTTCCGCCTTTGCCTCCACCGCGACCCCTTCGTCGTCCCCAAGCTCATCTCCGCCTACTCTCTCTGCCGCTGTCCGTTTGCTGCCGGCGCCGCCTTCGACCTTGTCCCCGACCCCAATTCCCTCCTCTTCAACACCCTCATCCGCGCCTTCGCTTACAACTCCCTCCCCTCCCTCTCCTTCACCACATTCTCTCGCATGCAGCTTTCTGGCGTCAAAGCCGACTCTTTTACCTACTCTTTCCTCCTCAAGTCCTGCCACGGTCATCCTCGCCGCGTGCAAGCAATCCACGGTCAAGTGGTCAGGCTGGGGTTTTCTGCAGATATATTTGTTCCCAATTCGCTCATAGATTCGTATTCTAAAGCCGGTGAACCTGGCCTTGCCAGAAAAGTGTTTGATGAGATGCTGCTGAAGGATGTGGTTTCGTGGAACTCTATGGTTGGGGCGTTGGTGAGAGCAGGGGAGATTCGGGATGCACGGAAAATGTTCGATGAAATGCCTGAGAGGGATATTGTGAGTTGGAACAGCTTGTTGGATGGATATGTTAAGGTGGGTGACATGGATACTGCTTTTGATTTGTTTCAGAGGATGCCCGAGAGAAATGTGGTATCTTGGTCTACTGTCGTGTCGGGATACTGCAAGAAGGGAGACATGGAAACGGCGAGGACGTTGTTTGATGAGATGGGTGTTAAGAATTTGATAACTTGGACGATAATGGTGTCTGGGTATGCTGAGAAAGGTCTTGCTAAGGAGGCTTCAAGCCTGTTGGATAAAATGGAGGAAACTGGATTGGAACTTGACGCTTCTGCTATTGTTAGCATTCTCACCGCCTGCGCCGAGTCAGGCTTGCTTGGTTTTGGTAAGAGGATTCACGCTGTAGTAAAGAAGCACAAATTGAGATTTAGTACTCAAATTAACAATGCACTGGTTGATATGTATGCAAAATGCGGCAATTTAGATGAGGCATGGAGCATCTTCGAAGAAATCAAAGAAAAGGATTTGGTGTCCTGGAATTCTATGGTTCATGGCCTTGCCATACATGGTCACGGTAAGAGAGCTTTGGATCTCTTTGCTCGAATGGAGGAGGAAGGTTTCTTGCCTGATGGTGTTACCTTCATAGGTGTGCTTTGCGCTTGTACTCACATGGGGCTTATCAAAGAGTCTCGTAGGTATTTCTCCACTATGGAGGACTATGGGATTGTCCCTGAGATTGAGCACTATGGATGCCTTATTGATCTTCTTGGCCGCCGAGGTATCCTAATGGAGGCTTATAATCTCGCCAAGACAATGCCTTTTGAGCCAAATGCCGTAATATGGGGTAGCCTTCTCAATGCTTGTAAGGTTCATAACAATGTAGACCTTGCTGAGAAGGTTGTTGATGAATTGATGAGACTGGAATCATCAGATGTAGGGAACTTTGCAATCATTTCTAATATATATGCATCTGCTGGAAAATGGGATGGAATGGCTAAGGCTAGATTGAAAATGAAAGATGCTGGCGGGCAAAAGCAGGCTGGATCAAGTTGGATTGAGCTCAATAATGTTGTTCATGAGTTCACAGTTGGAGATAGAATGCACCCTCAGACGGATAGAATTCTTAGAATGCTTAATAGGTTGGGGAAACATTTAAAGCAGCTTGGATATGTAGCAGCTGAAGTAAATGTTTGATGCTTTGTAAAGAATGAATGGAGGCTAAATGATTCAAAGAAATTGAGCTAAATTGAAGAAGAATGACTACATTTCCATGGAATTTCAACCTTTCTGTGAAGCATATTGGATTAAGAGTATTGCTGTGCGGATTATTGGAAAAACCGGACCTTGAATCCGTAAGACCTTTTTTTAAAGTGCCTCTCAAGCATAGCTGTTGTGCTTTGATGGACATGAAATTAAAGTTGTTCTACTGAAACAAGCCTCATCATTACACAGAATTGAAAGCAGTTTGAATTTCTTGTTTGTTAGAATCATTAAGGAAAGTGTTCTAATCAAATGCACAGTGGAATGATCAAAGCCGGTGATTAAAAGCTATGTCCATCAGGTGATGAAAAGAAATTATTCATGGGATCGTGTGATGCGTGAAGCTATCATTGCAGTTCTCAATTGAGATTCAGGCCGAGCTCCTTCTCAGAACCGTCAGAGAAGTAAGGCTTCCAGTTCTCCAGATTTTAGATATGTGAAATATGGGATGAGAAGGCATCTGCATGGTGGATTGGTTGATCAAGTAAGTTTATAATCAATTCCTAGTAGTACTATGTTAAATTTTAGTTGTATTACTGATCAACTATAGGATTAGTTAATGCACTTATACTAGGTACTACAACAACAACAACAACATCAAGCCTTTGTCCCATTACATGGGGTCAGCTACATGAATTTTTTTTTTTTTTCATTGTCATACTAAAAGTTAAATTCTCGTTTAAATCTAATAAAGAAAGATCATTTCTAATATTTTATAACCAAGTCTTTTTAGGTATACCTCTATCTTTCTTAACATAAGTCAAATCTAATACCTCTACTTTCCTAACCGGGTCATCGGAAGGCCACCATTTTATGTGACCAAACCATCTAAGGCGACTCTCTCTACTCTTATCTTCCACTAGAGCTACTCCAACATTTTCAAGTATATGCTCATTTCGTATCTTATCTCTAAGGGCAAAGCCACTCATCCATCTGAGCATCCTTATCTCTGCAACACTTAATTTAGTATTATGCTTCTCTTTTAATGGTCAATATTCGGCACCATAAAGCATTGCAGGTCTCACCACCATCTATTGCAGGTACCATGAGCAAAAATATTAACTGGTATATTGGACTCAATCAAATTGCAATAACAAATTGAATCTTGAGTTAGCTTACTATATTATATTTTTATTGTTGTCCCCTCGGTAGTGTATTATGTTTTACTTGGAGTCCCAGTATAATATACTATCTAATCAATAATATCATTTCCTATGATTTGGTTAAGTATTCAAATGGCAACTAGTCTTGGAGTCTTTTAGTATACTTAAATACAATTCAAATAGTTGACGAGTAGTCCCTCGTAAGATCTATGAGATTTTGATCCATCATATTTGATGATGTATAATATTTTCATTTAAGGAGAATAGTGATTGGTATGGAGGTTTTTTATTGCTTTTCGTCTAAACAGTCACTTTTTATAGAAATAAAATATTTTGTTGTTCATTAAAATTTAGAATCTATCATTCTCATCTTGTACAATCCTTATCAAATTTAATAGCTCATTTTTTTTTTGTTCTTGAAGAAAGGTCTTATGCAATCTAAGAAAATTGGAATTGATCACATTGGCAAGAAACATCAAATAATTACTTTCTAGAGCGATGTGACGTTGTATGTATCATAATCTCTCTATTAAAGATCACCTGATATAAACCATTTTGCAAATTAAATAGATGAAATTGTGTTGAAATGTAAGCATCAAAACTTGATACAAAGCATCATTAGGGACTGCATAGCAGACATTAAAGTTTTGTTTGAGACAACTTTTTTGTTGTTTCTTAAAATAGCTTTCTAATAATTTTTGTACTAGAAGCTGCTTTAAGAAGCAGTAAAAAAAACGGTTCCAAACGATGCCTAAATATATAATGATACACAAAGAAAGATGAACCAAGATTTACATGTATGAATTTGAATAACTTTAAGTCCATGGTGGAGGGGAAAGGATTTGATCCACTATTTAAAAAGCTATAAAAGACATAAACAATAAAACATTTCTCTTTAGCTCTTTTCAAATATCAAGTACACTAACTCTTAATTAAAAAAGATCATAAGAAACTCTCATAATAAAGATTATTTGACAACAACATTGTTCTCTTCACATCCTTTGAAATCATCAATCCTCTAAGAAACATGCAAAAACTTACACCAACCTTAGATTGTGTTATTGCGTTGAGCTGATCTCCAAATCTATGATCTCTAATGTCGACAAGTTTTTAATCCTTCGATTGATGTGAGCGAAGGATTAAAAATTGGTCGTTTTTACAGGTCGATTTTTCAGACCCGAACTCGACCTGCTTCGGGTATGTTTGCTAAAATATTTGTATTTAATTTGATTTATTTAAACTTAAATCAAATTACGGTAAGATTTACTTTAATCAATTTAACATAACAAAGCTTAATTCATTTTGGACAACATGCTTTATTATTTTTTGGAAATAACATTTACTTATTTCAGAAAAAACTTCTAAAACTCACTTAAATTAATTAAAAACGGATCAAACTGAGTTTATTTGGGTTTTCAGGTTAACCTGAACTCAACCCGGTTTTGCAAATGGATCGAAATCCCTAACTCGAACTCAACCGGGTTGGGTTAGGATTGAACTAAATCCGAAATTTTTTGATCAAGTTCGAGTCAAATTTTCAGATTGTGTCAAATATTGATTGCCCTAATAATAATGATAACTCTTGTTGCGGGCTAGAATATACGCGGGTAGAGTTTGCAAATTTACGTCTGAGCATTGTACGAATATTCAGCACACAAACAGAAAAGAAAGTGAACACCAGGATTTTTACGTGGAAAACCTTGAAAAGGGAAAAAACCACGAGGCCGCGCCCAGTTGAAAAGTTTCACTAGTGTTGCGTAAATTATAAGAAGCTGATTCGTCCCACAAGTTAGGACAATCAGATTACACTAAGTTTCTCCTGAATTAAAACAAAGTTGTGCAAAATCCCGACGTTTCTCGAATATCCGGCAGAATTCCGGTGTATTCTGGCGGCGGGAAGAACTCTGACGGTGGTCGAGGAGGAGATGATTCTCCTTTCCCCTTTCTCTTCCTCTTCCCTTCTTATTCTCCCTTCTTCCTTCAGTCCCCCCTTATGAGAAATGAGGGGTCTATTTATAGTTTTTCTGGAGTGGCATAGCCCGTAAATTTGTGTGAGATCAGGGGAAAATAGGGAGTGGACGAATTGACGGCTGATATTGAATCCTTCGATCGTTCACCATTCGTTGAACATTTGAGGGCCTTAGAGATGTCAGAATCCGGCAATCTTGGGCTCGTTGGATTCGTCTCGTCGAGCCGTTAGATTCGAGTATAAGCTCGTTAAAATCGGAGACCGTTTGGTAACTCAAATTATGGTTTGAACCTTCCAATAGCGCTTTGGGTCCTTGATTTGGACCCATTTGGGCTCGGATTGGGTTGAAATTGTTGTCATTGGGTTTGTATTTCCGAGACGCTCAGTTTGATTATAAGCTCGCTGAAATCGGAGTTCAGGTGCTCCCAGATTTAATTTTTTAAGTTTTCTGGTTGGTTTTTGCTTCGAGATTCGTGCCCGATCAAGATGATTTCATTACAACGTATCAGTTGCCCCCTATTTTCGGATGTCGAAGCTCCAGGAGTCCGAAAAATATATGTTTCAAAAATTTGTATTGGTCAAAATGCGAAAATTGCATTCCGAAAATTAAGTGTTCCTCGAAACTTGATTATAGAGGTCTCGTTGAGCTCCGAAAGTGTCAAAATTGATCAGACGAATCCTTTCACTATGGATGCCTGGGGCGTCACAGCCACCGCCTTAAGTGGGTCCCACCACCCGAAAATAACTCCTTTTTGCTATTTTTTTGTCCTAAAAATTTCCAAAAAATCCCAAAAAAATTCAAAAAATTCTGAAAAAATTTAGAAAAATTGGGAATTTCGAAAATGACAGTAACTCTCCCCTTCTTTCTCAAAAACCTATAAATAGGCCTCCTAGGCCTTTAGAAAAATTGCATATTCTCCTTTTCTCCCTCTGGCTCTCTGATAGTTGAGGCTTTCCGCTATTTTCGAGTGAGAAATTTTTCCTGCTCGACTTAGCGCCCCTCCTCTTGTTCAAAAGTTAGGGAATTTCTCTTTTTCTTTCGCCCTTGGCTTTCTGGCAGTCGAGGTTTTCCGCTATTTTCGAGTGGGAAATTTTCCCTGTTCGACTTAGTGCCCCTCCTCTTACGCAGAAGTGAAGGGATTTTTTATTGCTCTTCTTTTCCCCCTGGCTTTCTGACAGTTGAGGTTTTTCGCTATTTTCGAGTGGGAAATTTTCCCTGCTCGACTTAGCGCTCTTCCTCTTGCGCAGAAGTAAAGGGATTTTTTCTTGCTCTTCTTTTCCCCCCGGCTTTCTGACAGTCGAGGCTTTCCGCTATTTTCGAGTGGGAAATTTTTCCTGCTCAACTTAGCGCTCTTCCTCTTGCGCAGAAGTGAAGGGATTTTTTCTTGCTCTTCTTTTCCCCCCAGCTTTCTGACAGTCGAGGCTTTCCGCTATTTTTGAGTGGGAAAATTTCCCTACTCAATCTAGCGCCCCTCTTCTTATACAGAAGTTGGAGACTTCTCCTTCCCCTCTTTCTTCTTGCATTGGAGGCATTTCACTATTGGAGATAGGCGACATTCCCCTATTAAGCTTCAGTGCCCCTCTATTGTGTAGAAGGAGAATTTTCAACACCATTTGAGCGGAAGTCTGTCAGCGATGGACGATCGAGTTGAAGCGCATTAGCAATCAACGATCGAGTGTAGAGCTGAAGGAGAGAGTTCGAGGGTGCGCTGCAAGTAGCAGTTGAGCGAGAAGCCGATGATGACCGATATGAAGTGAAGGACCGCCAGTAAATATCAGACGAATGACGAAATGATGGCAAGAGTCCATTGGCATTTTGCCCATGCAATATGCATCCAAACTGAAGTGTACCGACAACAGATATCACTGAGTCAAGGGGCCGGAGCAGTGT